AGTAGGACTCATTTAAAAGCACATGGAATGAATGGCTCACCAGTACAGAGCATTAAGGTTGTCCCCTCCTGCTCAAAGAGAATGTGAAGCAGTCCGTACAGAAGAACGCCCATGGGCAAGAGGAGACGGGGACAAGCTTCCAAGAGAAAGCACCTGTTCAAATAAAGAAATGCTTTTTACGTGGAGCTGCGCTCTGCTCTTGTCCCCCCTCCCACCCTCCTCGAACTCACAGAGGGTATCACCCTAAGATCCATGCACAGCTGCTCACAGCATTTGGGGTGAGAATGAAGGGCTCATTTATGTGTAAAACAAGATGGGTGTGTGAAAAAAGGGGTATGTGAAAAAAGGGGGGAGGAAGACGGACAGAAGTACTGTAGCTATGTATTAGTAAAGAAGAAAAAGGGAAGCTGGAAAGAAGAGGATTGACTGTTAAACCTGAGAAAACACGCACAAACTTACTTAATGCAAGCAGCCATGTGCCCGTCACTCTCACCCACATCTCCCTCCCCAGAGCCGCACGTGTCTCTGTCCCAGCAAACAAAGACCTTGTTGTGACACAGAGACCCAGCTGCAGCCAAGTAATTTTCTCTTTATCTTCTCTCTCCACCTGTAAAACGTGGGTATTGCCGCTGCTGAGAAAGCTGTTACCCAGCCTTGCAGAGGCCTGAACCACTCTGAGAAGGTCATCCCTCCGAGTACAGCTGGGCACTCCTCCCCACCACCTGAGCTATGCATATAACTTCAGAAACCCTAAAATCATGCTCCGACCCCCTCCCTCCTTGCTGGACTGGGGCACAGGTCATTGCATTGATGGTAAGAATGGAAGCAGAACCGGGTGCCAGTGTTTTACAACTGCCCAAACTCGTCCCACTGGGGCTTAGCAGCACATGCTGCTCTGTGCCTTAGTTTCCCCTTCCATGGGATTCTGGAGAATCAAGTTCTCCACCTTATAAGGGGATGAGAGGATGACTCAGTATTTCACTGTCATTTTATTTCTGCCAGAACAATGTAAAACAGAGTAGCTGTATGCAGAAAAGGTCACTATGCTACAAATGCATAGACACTTAGCCTGCTAAGGTCCTAATTGCTTTGGTTTTTAACTTAGTATAGCTTTGTTGCTTATTTTAACAAAGGCACAAAACCAACAAAGCTTTCAGTAAGCATTTAATTAAAGCTTAATTACTATAAATATGTTAAATGTGCAAATCTAGCAGGTGCAGCCAAGGGAAAGAAGCCCCTAGCAGTGTTTTTCACATAGACTGTAAATCCTCTCCTTTAAAACTGATGTTGTTCCAGGAGAATTAAGAAACCACTTTAAAATAGTTCTAAAAATCCAAAAGAGCAATAGGCTTTCACAAAGACTAAAAATAAAACAGAGTAGGAGTCACTCCAACTGAAAAACGTAAATGAAAAGTAAGGTGGAAGGTGTGTGCGTGTACGTGCACACCCACTTGCCTGCGTTACTCTTCAGGCCTCAACAGAAATGCACAGATATGACACAGCACTGCAGACTACATAAAGTGACAGTTATATGTTGTTATGCTTAGACTAAAACCAGCATCATTGCCTCATCAGCTATATTAAAGCTATGGTAAATTCCCCCAGCTATGAGAATTACATGTAAAACCTTCCTTTGGTCATGTAAATGTGGTCACAGCTGATCTGCCTTTAGTCCACAACCCGGTTACAACCTGTATTATCACAGAGCCAAGGAATTTGGACCTGGACTCTCGCTCACATTAAAAAAGAGCCATAAATGAACCTATCCACACTTCAGAAAGGGTCTGAAACAAGGTAATAAGCTAATTAAAAGAATAATTAAAAAAGGGAACACAATTCTCACAACAATTTTTTTATATCATCTATGTTACCTTAGCAAAGTGTTTTTAAAACACAAACACCAAAATTAGACACCAGACTGAAGTATTTGGCCACTTCCCTTTACTTTTATAATACTAGAAAAAAGAAATAGCTCCTCCAAGCCACTGAGCAGAGACCAGAGCGGATCCCAGGCGTCCCAGTAGCCCAGTCCCTCTCCACTAGACCACAAACTATGCCAGGCTGAGAGGTGCCAAAGCTAAGCTGCAATCACGCTGCATGCTGTGCATCTGCATTTCAGAACAGAATGCTCTACAGAGGAAGATGCCAGCTAGGATTAGAAACACTCCCTGCCTGCAGAAGAGTGATCCCCTGAGCACGGGCAATGGGAAAGAAAGCCCTGCCTGGACCTGGAGCTGCTGGAAGTGCCAGTGCCTCTCCCAGTTCACAGGGCACTATGAGGCTAAATTCACCTGGATAGAAGCCTTTGGGAGCCCATGAGAAAGGCTCTGCTTCAGTGTGACATGAAGCCCTGACCACGCTCCTGCCCAGCTATGCACCCATATCCCCTCTGAAACCTATCAGTAGGAATGTACCCAAACACTTCTTAATACCCTGCCATGTTTTGGATACAGGACATTTTCAAGAGGATGAGAATGATCATTGTTTTGTTGTAAAAAGGAAAGACAGACCCCAAACTTCCCTGCCGGCACACAGGATTTCATCTTGTAGCTGATGGCAACTGACAGAAATCATTAATGCAGTGCCTCTGAAATTAAATTTAACATATGGACTGTAGCTGTCTAATTGGAAGAGTGAGGGCCGTGAAAATTAGGAGACCTTACAAAGCTAAAGGACAGGTCACAGAAATCTCCAGCAGCACAGCAGAGAACATAGTTCTCTGAAAAACGACTTTGGAAAGACAGCAATTTGGGGCTGAAGGCTTACTTTTTCTTAGCGGTTCTAAGCTGAAGACACTCATTCCAGCTACCAACATCACAGGCCCCTAAATCCACGCTGAGTAACTTGTGCAGGTATTGGCAACCTTAAAAAAAGAAGTGGTGACCGAGCAAGCAGGTTAAACAAAACCAAACAACCCTGTTCTTGTTGCATGCTAACAATACATGGAGATCCTTGCTCAGCTGGCTGCATCTTGACCATCTCTGAGCTACTCGTTACCTCTCCTCTGATGTGCAAGACAGAGAGAGACCCAGCTCACCGCCCCTGGAGGCTGTTTGACTGATGGGTTAAGAATCAAGTTGTAACAACTTATAATCCAGCCAATCAGCTGCTGTGGCTGCATAAACCAATTTTAGATCATCACTCTTTACAGAGGGACCACACTCTAAAAAAAAATATAATCCTGCATCCTACTACAAAGCAGAGTAAGTCATATTTAGACTAATTCCTACCTAATGTATGCAAAAGGATTGCAAGAGATTCAGAAAACCAGCAGGCACTCTGCATTTGGAAGGGAAAAGCTACTAAACATTTAAAATTCTGCAGGCTAAACCCATGCTCCTGAGTCAAAGCCATCAGCTCCCCAGGCTCTGCCTTCTCCACTTCCACAGCTGACCACACACACAACACCAGTTCTGCTGGGTTCGGATTAAAATGGTTACCCTCTGGGCTACATCCGTGAGCAAACGATTTGTAGGGAATTTCAAACACTCCGTGTGTCATGTTCCAGCTCAATACATTTCCCAGCCAGCAGCGAGACCCCACTGTGGACATTACAAAGCTAGAAATGGTACGGAGGGCCAAAAACATGTCTGGCACAACCCCAGCAGTATCAACAGAGTTGTTACACCAGGAGTAAGTCTGGCTTGCATTTCTGTTTGCCTCCATGAAGTATCTAATTACTCTTCCACTACATTGTTGGAGACAAGTCCTACCAAACTTCAGATATTCAAGGACTCCTTAACTTTCAATTAAAGTCAGTATTCATCCAAAATGTGGGAAAAATAAACACCATTTGCCCAATACAGCCAAAAGCGCTTTTTTTCCCAGGTACCCAAATAAGACACACCGCTGTTATCATTCTGCCAGCCTGTAACAAGGGACCAGCCTGGGTGCTGAACGCTTTTTACTGCCTAGATGTTTTCATTAGCATTTCTACCTGATTTTAGGCAATTATTGTACCATGAACAGCCTTTCTCCCTGTCTCCTCTTAGCCTTTGCAACTCGGGAAGCCCTGTTCTGGTCCACCGGTCACTTGGAATGGTCAACAGTCGTCACACTCCATTGCTGACCATTGTCTACTGGCAAAGGTGGGAGGCTCCAAAGCCCGTCCCTCTGCGGACGGGCAAACAACGGGGCCCGTTGCTGCTCGGACATCAAAGTTAAACAAACAGTCCCAAGCCCCCGCCTCTGTGCCCATCTTAAGGAGCTCCCCAAGGAGGTCACGACTTTCAGCTTGTCATAGCACACATCAAAGTTTGCACCACACACGAACTCGGCACATGGATTCGAATCGTGTCGCCCGAGAGCGGATATTCAGCTTTTGTGCACTTCTTTAATCCTGTGTTTTCCCAAGTAATTAGGCTTTTTTGCTTATGAACTTGTGACTAAGTAAAGCATCCCTGAGAGGTTGTAACATCAAAGCTCATTCTCCCGTCTGTCCCACGTTTTCCAAAATTGGATTTCTTTTTCTCTTTTTTCCTTAAATAAAAAACTAATTGAATTTAGTTGTAGACTGAATATATTTAAGAGTGTCTTTAAAAGGTTACAAGAAGCCACAGCGATCATCATGGGAACTAAGGAGGGAGGGCACAGCATTCAGCATTTTTGCTTCATAAAGGCCTAGCATGAAAGACCCAGCAATGGCCCCACAAGCTAGGAGGGATGCAGCAGCTCTTAGGGGAGCTATTTCTGGTGGTGGGGTGTTAGACTACCTACCACAATGACATCCCAAGGGTACGGACTCATCAGAGGCCAAAATCTATTGCCAATTCAGCAGTCACCTCTCTGGGATTGCAGAGCAGCCTACCTCGATCTGTCACACAACGTATCGGGCAAAGGAAGAGTGAAAAGCTCCCTCGGGTTTAGCTTGACCACACATCCCAAACCAGCCCAAACTTTCTGGAAACCCTCTGTGGAGCTCAGTATGACTTTAGGAAAAGGTGAGGCAGCTGTGAAGTGACTTACTCACTACGTAATGGTGAATGCCGAGACAAACGTACCTGGAGTTTCTGCTGATAGCTGCCACCATGAGAGCAGTCCAGCCAAGCTTGTGCCTCGCATTCACGTCTGTGCCTTCCAGCAATAACCTGGACAGAAGAGACACACATTCAGGAAAAAGACGCAGAGAAAGCATCCCGAGCAGACTGGAGCTAATGACAGAAAGCGGAATATTTTACTTCACAGGCACCTGCTCCAGTGCAGCCTAGAAGACCCAACATGAAAAGCTGATTCAGTCCAGTTTCTCATCAGCTACCAAACTGAAATGAGCTGGTAGATGATAACAAGCACAGTCCTTTCAAATGGTGCGATGCCAACCGTCTTTATTTTTTATTTCTTTCTTCTATTCAGTCTAATACCTGAAGAACCAACCAGCAACATGATGGAGAGCAAAGCTGATTAACCTACAATCTGATGACAGGTTTGGATCATCAGGCTGCAATGCAACCATTAGGGTTTTGGAAAAAGCTCAGCAGATCTCCAAAGCCCATGTCAACAGGAGATATTTTGCAGATTTTGTGCACGACATGAGAACAAATGAGACAAACGCAAAAAATACAAGGCATCAAACAACCTTTGGTGCTTTTTCTGCGAAATTTTCTCAGCCTTTGCACTGTTTCCCTAATCCCGCCCTGGCACCTTTTAGCAACTTTGTTCCTACATGGCTTCTGCTGGCTTTTATATTCTTCAGATTCTAAAGCACCAGAAGGCTTCTCTATCCTTTCTGCATCCTCTGATCCTGCAGCAACAACACTATTACTCTTAGTGCCAGATTCCAAGCAGTACTTAAGAACAGCGATATTTCATAGAGACAAACTTACCCAACCTTCTCTCTTTCATGGCCAACCATGGGATCCAAACAACCTCCTCTAGCCAAATGCATGCGAATGCTGGGAGTCCAGCCTACCCTAGCTGCCTATGCTTCCCCACAGCTAATAGCAAAGGACGGGTCCTTGCAGAAGCTAATTCAGCTCATCCTAAAACAAGTGCCAAACCCAGATGGTATGAAATGACAATCTGGAAGTGCCATTCTCTCTGTAGACCACAAGGAAAGAGGGAAGTTCAGACTTCAGACACAAATCCTCCTTCCTTTTCCCAAACTGAGGCTTTCCATCTTCCTTTCTGGGTGAGGCCATTACTGCACAGCACATCCTCCACACAGATGCAACAGGGAAGAGCTACCATTAAACTCCGTGCTGTGAGAGACACAAGTGAAAACACAAGCCATGTTCCACACATGCAAGCACCACACTTCAAAATCCCCCCAGATCCACAGAGAAGGAATTTGATGGCAGCTGTGGCTGCTCACATGCACTGAAAAAGTCAGACCACTTCTTTAAGGACTTAAGACAGGTACGTGCCTGAACTTGGCGACCCTTTTCAAATTAACTGCCCTCAGCCTGCTGTGGCGGTAAATCTGTCAGGTGGTTAATAAAGAGTGCTGGGATGGAATTAGTGAAAAGGAGCTAAATGTACCATATTCCTCTTCCTACAGTTGGAACAAAGATAAAGGAAACCACAAAGACTAGCCCAGCAAACACCCACAGCTGTACTCAAAGTCTCTGCAAACCCTCCTCCACCTGGTGAAAAATCCTTACAGCGGTTTCACTAAAAACTTATCCCAAGGAACAAATATATAATCCTAAAGTTATTTCTGACCAGCAATACCAATGCCTAAGCTTTGCCTCCTGTCTTGAACATAGTTGAACACAGCTCTCCCTGCTGACCTGAGAAACTAGCCAGATAACTGTCATCCAAGTTAGATGCCTAAAATCATCCATATCCCCCTCCAGTTGAACTTTTTGCCCTATTAGACTGAGACTGTGGGGGCATGAGAGACAACAGGCAGATGACTTCAGCCAAGTCGGATAACTAGCAGGTCGGATAACTCTTCTGACTCAAGTGGAGGTATGATATGTAGGTAACGGGTATAGGTGGGTAATTTGACCATCCTTTTTTGACAGGAGGGGTAGCCAGCGCTGGTGCCTTGGTACCGGATGCTCTGAACTGCTCATCAGGCACTTGGACTGAGATCCAACAGCTAATAAAATAGAATAGTAGCCTTTATTCATAGCTCCCAACCGTGGTTCAGGAGGCCATGACCTCTGTAAATGATCCACAGCACTAACAGAAGATTTATGTTCTCTTTACCAGGGTTACAATTAAAAGTTTAATGATAATGAACTGTTTGGCAGGTAAACAACAGGTCCTTGCTCCAAAAAAGTTTGGTACTTGATACTACACGGTAGCAGAGGAACAAATTTTCATGCAGAATCCTTACCAGATCCATGCTACACAGATCTGCACGTCACTAACTTCAGGCAGGTCACAGCTCCTGTATTATCAAATGGTCCTGCAAACTACAGTATGACGTACTGCACAGGACCAGCCTTGGCTCTCCCCAAGATACGTCCTTATGCTTTTCTCCTTCTTCCAGCAACTAATCTCTGAAAGCAAACAACAAGAGCATGCTGCAAGCTGTGTTGCCTGAAGACCACTCCCAGACAGCAGACTGCTTAAAGGAGAAATATCCATGTGCAGCCACAAGGCTCTCCTGTCCCTGTAACATAGGACATGCCTAGATACACAGATGATGGCAGCCTGTATGCCAGGCAGATTGCTATCTTTAGAGATCAGCTCTCATTGCAGCTATGCATATGGAGGGTGTTTGCACTCACAACAGAGAGATAAGCAAGCCTGACTCAGATCCACAGCCACTGCTCGTCACAGCAGTCACCTGCTCTTGCTTGGAGGGACACTGCCTGCAGCAGAAATCCACACCGCAGCTCCATCTGTGCCACCATGTGCACCACGTCCTCCGCACAGGCACAGAAAGCTGCTCCTTCAGAAGAAGAACTGCTCGGTTGCTGCCACTGCAGGGACCAGCTTCAGCCCTAGCTCCCCCAGAAACCACAAGGAGCTGTAGCCAAACCCAGCAAGAGACGGGGGAAACCTACACTGAGATCTTACGGTCTCCCCTCTGACTCACCCCAGGTGCTTTGGAAAATGCTTTCACAGCCATCACGGTGCCCAGTCATCTTCCATTCTTCTCTTAGAGCGGCATGGAAGGATGTGTACAAGTTACTTCTGAATTTCATTTTATTTACCTGGCCATTTGAAAGTACTTTGAACACAGTAACTTCCACCTCACCCCCTTTCTACAGTGTGTCAATCTGACAGTCTAATAGCCACATAAAATCCAGCAAATAAAAGAAAGGAAAATACTACTGCATCGGAGAGGAAGCCTGACAGGGGAACCCAGGAGAAGCAGGGGGAAGCCAGACACGAAGCCTCCTGAGGTACGAAGGCATCGGCTAAGCCAGGATTAAGGCAGCCATACCTCTTCAGGCTGCGAACTTTTGTCTGACAGCTAAAACCTCACAGCCCAACACCTACCACTTATTAACATCTTTAACAGGGGTTAATTAATGTAATTCACAAAGTATTAGGCCCATTTGCAATTGACCACAGTATTAATATGATTTAACATTAAAGCCGCAAACAGACTGTCCTGGTCGCCTTCCATCAGCCACTGGGTCGCTCTGCTGCAAAACCTTGGTCTTACCTCCATATGTCATGAACTTTAACATTTGTTTTCTCATGAATGGGAACCGCAGCTAAATACTTCAGCATCTCCTCATGAGACAGAGGACAGGACTGCAACCTTCACTTAAAGCACTTTGGAGCCCCTAAAAACTACATTTTTAATTCACCGGAAGGCTTTTTTCCTCTACAGACGTACTGGAAGGGCTTATTGAACAATGACTTATCTTCACTCTTAGGTAAAAAAATAATGAAATAAGATCCTAGTCCAGCAGCCAAACATGTTAGAACATAGTGCATCCAACAGGAAGGATGCTGGAGACTCTGCTGCAGGATTTGATTACAGGCTGGGAGCTAAGATACTAGAATTAATCAAGTAGTTTTCCATTCAGGAATCTAGATAATCGTAAGCATCTGGAATGCCACATGACCGAGCCCAGTGAGAGAATTACTAGCATCACATCACCTAGCGTAATATGCATTGACATTTCCTTTAGGAGCTGGATTTTTTTTTTTTTAAATCATTGCAAGATGCTCAGCAACTTAACAGATTTTCTAGACAACTGAACTTTATGTTCAGGGTCTTCAAGCCCATCATTAATTTTTTCCCCGCCTGATTTAATGATATGACAATCGATAAAGTGATGACCACTGCTCAGATCCTAGACAGCCAAATGTATTTACCAGCAGGAGTATTTTTTTTTAATTAAATAAAATTCTCTGATCAATGTTTAGGATGTTTATCCACATTTTAACCAAATAAGATCCAGGACACTCACTCCTACCTCCTAAGAGTTTCTCAGGTGTATATAGCCCTATTAGCACCATTTTCAGTGTTTCTCAAATGACAAACTGGTCCTCGGCTGCAGCAGTACCACCAAGACCCAGTCACTAGAAGAATAACGAGCAGGTGCTTTTTCTGTTTGGTGGTGTGTTTGTATTTTAAGGATTTCAGAAAAACCTTTTTTTTTTTTTAGGGTTTTAGGGCAGAAAGCTCGTCCGCTTCTCCAGACAGATGGGGTATTCTGCGTGAACAGATTTTCCTGACAGTGTTTTAACAGTTAGAGAGCCTGCAAGCGAGCAGTGACAGCTCCCAGTCCCAGTCTTCAACGAATGTCCCCTCTCCCTCCAGAGCCTCACCTCCGAGGGCAGCAATGGGGGCCCTTTGCAGAACTGAAGACTTCTCTGGAAACGAGCAGAGGCTCTGGAGCAGCCCAGGGCCTGGCCAGAAGAACATCACTGGCTGCTCTGGAATTTGCCGGAGGAGCCCGGGCAGAGCGGCACCCACTGCTTTGTGCGTACGCCCTATTTTACCTCGAGACAGCAGCTCCCAAAGCTTCAGCACTTTGATCCACCCAAAAGAGAAAAAGAGCCCAAGTCGGCTGCAGCGATGAGCCTTCTCCCCCCGCTGCCCCCAGACAGATGTGCCTCCTATTCACCCCGCTGCCGGGGTTCTGGGTGACTAACTCGGTGACACCGTGCTCACAACCGAGCCCAGAGGGCATGTTTGAGTTTGTGCTCAGTGCCGGGAGCATGCCCAGCGCTC